TCTTCGGGCCCGACATCCCGCGCGCGCGCTGTCCAGTCGGCGGAGCGCGCTCTCGAAAGGCGTGGTTGGTGGGCGTGGCCAGGTGGGCGTGGCCAGGAGGAAAACATCCTCTCACTATGTGACCGGAAGTTGAACTGCGGGGCAGCCAGACCACAAGCGGCTTATTGAAAGGCAAGGCGGAGGTGCGCCGCTTGGCTGGGATCCCGGAGCGCTAGGATGTTGTGCGTCCCTGGTCTTGGGCTCGTAAATCCTGAGCTGGCGGTGGTAGGTTGCAGTCCTTGCAAAAGAGCTCGCCCTTGAAGGATTCAGATTTGTTTCCCCAGCTTGTGATATGGAAAATGGAGGTATTTTCTTACGAGATGCAGGTTTGAAAGGCTGGGATCTACTGGAGATGTCTGGATGACTACACTGAACAAATTCCAGTCTTCCTCCGTTTTGGCTGAGAAACAATGCTCCCACCGACTACTGATGAAAACGTTCTCCCTGCAACTGGCGTCTGCACAGTTGTGGATATTGGCCTGCGCAGGAAAAAAAAAAAAGAGTGGGCCCTTTGGGCCAATAATAATAAATTAGCTTGTGCTTGAATTAGCCAAGTCTTTGCGGTTTTGTTAACTTGGCCTCACTTTTCTTGGAGTAGGAAGTGCCCATTCCTGAAAAAGTGACTTTTCTAATTTGAACTGACACCTCATAAGGCCGTGCAATTATCAAAGAGGACAGAGTAGCCTGGAAGATTTTTGGTGACCATGGATTTGGGTCTTCTTCTTCAAACCTGTTTCAGACAAGGTCCTTTTTCCCCTTAAAAAAAATTTCAATATTTTCTAAGATCTGGGGATACAAAAGTTGACAAAACAGATCTCCCTTCATAGTCAGACATATAAGTGCCTGATAACGAATAGAATGTAATCTTTTGTATCTCTTGGTTAGAGAAGATAGACAAAATTGCAAAGTAGTGTTTCATTCACTCATTTAACACATTTCTTTGGTTAAATGTGATGTAAAAAATACCATTTTAAAATAAAATAGTTACTTTCCAAGTTTTAAAATTAATTTTCAATATGGAAATGTAAGGGTCTTAAAAGTCAAATAGTTTATATAAAAACTAATCAGTTTTCTATTCTATCCCACCACACTTTTTTAACCTCAATTAAAAAGAATTTTTTAAATTAAATGTATTGGGGTAATATTAGCTAATAGCATCGTAATTTTTCTCCACACTTTTGAGTTGTTTTTTAGGAAGCAGTCCCATTCAACTCCTACATATTTTTAAGCTCCTTATCCATGCATTCCTCAGTAACATGATTATACTCTGATTTCTTCATTTATAAGTTGTAGATACCTTTTATTGATTGATTCCCATAGAAGATAATTTAATTCTTTTCTCTCACAGCATTCTTCCTCTTCCCTCAAACTCCTAATTATTTCAAATTTTTTAATTAAAATAAAGTATTCAAAGTTTAAAGCATTAGAGTTATGTGAATATTATTCACTAATAAGTGAGGTATTTTACTATGACTGTGATTACATTTCTTGTTAAACGTTTTGTTTTTCCTGGAATTAACAATCGCCTCATCATTTTGTTTGTGTGTTTAACTCTTCATCTATCACTAACTCGGCCACAGACTTACCAGGATGGACACCCATATCAAGTTATCTCTCAGATGCATTTTAATCTTGGGTACATCCCTCCTGGAACACTCACCTCTTGATCTGCTCTGTTTTAGAAATTTCTTCCTCCTTTCTTCCATCTTGATTCCTTACTTTTCTTGGATTTCCTGTCCTCTTCTTTTCTCCCTTTCTTTCCTTCTTCCTTTTTTAATTTTAACATTTTATTTATTAAAAAACTTCCTATGTGACAGATTTGATTTATTGTGTGAATCCTTATCATCTTTAAAATTTTTTTCTTTATTGATTAAGGTATCCCATTTGTGTCCTTATCCCCCCCATTCCCCTACCCCCCCCCCACTC